CCCTCTCGTAGATCCTCATTCTGTAGGAGCCTTTGTACTGTATTGAAGAAGTTGTCAGGCGGTAGTTTAGGTTCAAGGTTGAAGTTTTTATGAATTGGCATTCTGGAATTATCATGCTTTTTGAGCAAATCGATTTAAAAAGATTTTTTTTTTTACGTTTTTACAAATGCAAAATGTACATGGAACTCACCATGGGGATCATACGGCAAGATCTGATGCAGTCGCTCATGCCAAACATAGACATGTAATCAGCGTACTCGCCCTTCTTGAAGAAATACTGATTTCCCATGTAGTTGGGACGATCATACATCATGAAGCAGCCACTCTCTATTCTGCAAGAGTGACAGCGACTCAGGTAGGAGGACATGTCAGCACAGTCGCTCATGCACTCATAAGTGCGACCCTGAAAGTTCCTGTCCTCGTAGAAGATGACCTGGGACAAATAAAAAAATGTCAGCATTGACTTAATTACTATTTATCAATACTATATTAAACGTCACCCAACACAGTATCCAAATGATTCTTCAAAACCAATTTCTTTTATTTGAATTGCAGTGTTTTATTTTCTATATATCAATTAGAGCTGAGATACCATTATAAATCAGAAAAGCAAATAAATCATGTTTTAGTAAGATGTTGAGAATTTTTAAGGCTTACCTTTCCGTGCATGATTGTGGTTGTGGTTATTCCAAACTTGCTACTGTAACAACAGCCTGCTGCCTTATTTATACTATATGGACTCCCAAAGAATTTGTATTCCTATTGTTTAAAAAGGCCTTAGTCAGCTGCATGGTGTAGCGAGTGGTACAGTTTGCTACTACAGACCTGAAAGGGTTATTATTTCAAGCCTTGTGGTGGAGAAAATTAGAAATTTCTGCTTGTAAAGCAATTCCAATGACAAGAAAGCATTTTAAACAGCCAAAATGAAGCTCAAACCAAATATACTTGTGTAACCTGGGCTTGTGGAGGACGTTATCAAACATATTGGTTTTATCATTAAGTTAAATGTTAATGTAAACTACAGTAACTGTTGTTTGTTTTTAAAACATTTCAAGTTACTGTATGTCACACTACATTTTTCACATTGAACTTTTGTTTTAACTTTTTTATATATTTTCCTTAAATGTTAGGTTGCATTGGATACCAAATAATATGTTTTTCTTTCTATTTTTTTTAAATGACCTAATCCCCCCCCACCCCCAACCCCCCCACCAATTCATCTGGGGCCTGGTGTTGGTGCAATGTAACACTGCATAATAACATTTCATGTCTATACAATTTTTATAACTATTTTTCATCTATATTGGCAAAAGTATAACAAGCATGAATATTCAACTGACTTTAATAGGCTTTCGCTTGTCAGAGTGTTTGGAGTGACTGTTGCTAGAACAACTCTTATAGCAGATATTTTATTCTGATATTGCTTTATGAGAGCACCTAATCCAATTTTTTTTTTAAATTTATCAATAGAATTTAGAGATTTCAGCCTTTAGAAAGTAGAACAGTTGATAGTTTGCAGTTCTGAGAATCGATTGGGGATGGTATTTAATTTAGTTTGTGAAGAACATTGTCAGCAATTAGCTGAAGAGTTGGGGGAGACATAGGATTGTAGAGCAGAGATTAATCTCTTTAACAGTTTGTGAGTGCTGTTCTTTTTTGACATGGTATATGTAATGTATTTGAGTTGATGTTACAATACCTGATGGCCACTAGAGGGCACTCCCCGTGTTGTGGGTTGTGGATGTTGCAGTGTGCCGATTAAAGCAGTCCATAAACAGTGCAGACATGTCTCTGGTTTTACTCGTGTATATTCTGAAACACAACAGAATAGCATATGTTATTATAGCATATTGATGCAGATATAACATAAATTGGGGACGAGAATAAAGTTCCCACTGCCAATATCGAGTCATCGGTCGAGCGAAAAGGATGGCTACAATCATCGGACAGGTCGAGGCATTTGACTAGGCAAGAGAACAATGGCCTACGTATGTTGAACGTTTTGAACACTTTGTGCAGGCGAATGGCATTAGTGAAGGGAAAAGAGTGCCAGTTTTTCTCAGTGTAATGGGGGCATCGGCTTATGGACTTTTACGTAGTCTCATTGCACCAGTTAAGCCTGGGACTATGGAATATGATGAGATTGTGAACACACTCCAAGCACATTTTACCCCCAGGCCCATTGTGATTGCAGAGAGGTTCAAATTTCACAAATGAAATCAAGCAGAGGGGGAAAGTGTCGCACAATACGTGGCGGTGTTAAAGAAACTGGCGGAGCACTGTGAGTTTGGCGACAATCTAAATGACGCACTGCGAGACCGATTTGTGTGTGGCCTGAGTAGCGCAGGGCTCCAGCCTGCGACCAAAATTTGAGTGTGTGCGACTGAATTTTACACCCAGTCGCACATGTGCGACCAGCAAATTTGTGCATTTTTTTTTTACAAGTTAAAACGTGGAAGTTGCGCGTTAATGAATCCGGAATGTGATGAGTGTGAGAAGAATAGGGAATGGCCACTGTAACTGGCTAATGCGTGGAGGGGGAGGGTCTATAATCGACCGCGTGGCGCGCGTAAACATCTGTGGGAGACAGACAAAATATCACAACCTTCTATGCGCATCTGAGCAATGAAGCGAACTATTGACTCGTTCTTCCGACCTGCGGCTAGTGTGCCAGAGTCAGTGCCACAGTCTGATGATGTGTCCGAGGTTTGTGTTGCGAAAAAGTCCCGAACCCACCATTTTCGGGAAGAGTGGGTTCGAGATTTTAGCTGGCTGAGGTACTGTAAGGAGACGAACTCCATGAACTGCGAGTACTGCAGTCGCTACCCCCAAAATGCGGGAAACACGAAGTTTGCCGACAGTGCAGGCACTTCGCAGTTTAAACGCAATGCTTTAGTTAAACATAGTCTCAGCCTTAAGCACAGAGTATGCCGTGATATGTTCATAAATCAAAAAGCAACGCCACTGCCGGTTGCTTTTAGAAGACAAGAGGCTGTAAATCAGAGCGCAGATGAGGCAGAGATGATGTTGAAATTTAACACGGCCTACTTCGTTGCTAAGGAGGAACTACCCTTCACCAAATTCAAAAGCCAGCTCGACCTTCAAAGGAAGAATGGCTTAAAAATGAACGAAACATACAACAACGATACAGCATGCGCACAATTTGTTGGAGTAATTGCGGATACTCTGAAGGGGAAGACTTACACAATGATCAAAGATGCTCCGTATATATCAATTATGATCGATGGGGACACCGACGTTTCAACAAAGGAATGCGAAATCATATACGCAAGGATCCTAAACGAAGGGAAACCAAGGAATATTTTGATTGGCCACATCGAAGTGAAACATGCACATGCTCAAGGTATGTTTTATATATTATATATTTAAATTATGTTTAGACCCATTACTAAATTCTTTAGCTGTCTTTACTGTGAATATGTATCAGTTTAAATAATTACTTAAGGTGCCATAATGATTAAGCTGTGATGTGTGATGATGACAGGGGGGAAAACTTCAGTGAATACAAGACATAATTGTACAACGTGCTTGCATTTTAAGGTGTATATGATGCCACTAAAGAGGCATTTCAGCATCTAGGAACAGAAACAGTGTGGTTAGAAAAGACAGTTGCCATGGGAGCTGATGGTGCAGCAGTCAATCTCGGGCATAAAGGAGGGGTTATAGCCCTCCTCCAAGCTGAGGCAGGGGGTTTTATTGTCCCATTTCATTGCATGCCACATAGGTAGGTTACATTTGAACCTTCAGAATAAAGATAAGGTAGTAGCCTAAATAATGCATGTTTAATTTTAAGTTGAATTCTTTGTAATTGTAGACTGGAGCTGGCAATGCTATCTGTGCAAAGGAAAATTCCAATGGTGGATCATGTCTACAATCTCCTCAACATGGTTTGGAAGACATGCCACTTTAGCAGCAAATCTATGAGAGAACTACGAGCACTTGGAGAGGAGTTGGGTGTGCGTGTCAATGTACCAGGTACTGTCAGTGGGACACGCTGGCTTCCACATGTGAACCGGGCCCTGCAAACCTTGCTGAAACCTGGAGGAAAGGATAGGCATCTGCAGAACCATGGCCAGTTCACAGCAGTTTATTACCACATGGAACATTTGACTGCATCATCCACCAATGCTGATATTGCTGGAAGATCAAGGAAGGTCTGTATTTAATTTCAAAATGATTTCATATTTGGGAGGCATTCAAAATAACTGATATTGGTGGTTAGTGGTTATTAATTGGTTATGTCTTGCAGGTCAAGAAGATGATGGAAGATGGAAGCTTTGTGGGTTTCTGTCACTTCTTGGCTGACTTGTTTGAGGCCATAAGCAAATTCAGCCTTCTCCAAAGAAATGATATTATTTTGCCTCAGGTAATGTTGACATGTTAAGAAGAATAGTTTAAACTTATTAAAACAATGTTAAAAAAAAAATTTTTATCAAGGAATATGTAGCTTTTACCTTTTATGTGTTTATACAACTTAAATGTTTTACAGGCTGTGAATGGAATTGAGAATCTCCTTGCAACTATTGAGGCCATGTCAGTGAGATGCAAGCCGGGTGGTAGGCTGGCAGAATTACTGGCTGACCTTCAGGCCCAGAGAAGACAACAAGAGGGTGAGGGGGAGACACACCTTTTGTACAAGTATCAGGTGAGCAGTATTTTTTTAATTACGTTTGAAGTTGATTTATTTTATTTTATATTTATTCATTTTTTATTCTTGTCTAAAATGTTGAATGTTGTGTGAACTCAGGGGATCATCATCAAAGGTGAAGCTGCTGGGCTGGGAAAGGAAGGACTCTCCATGGCAAGCACACCTAAGCTGCAACAAGCAGTGAGAGCAACCATCGACTGCACTTTGCTTCATTTGAAGCAAAGATTCATCAGTCTGCTTTGTAAGTGAAAGCACAGAATTATATATTTAAAAAAGAAAAATGTGAAAATAAGATAAACTATCATTATGACACATTCAACTTTCTCTTTCTCTCAACTGCGTCTTTCTATTCCTTGATAGATGAAGAATCTACATCAGCATCAGCAAAGGCAGTGAAGTCATTCAAGATATTCAGTCATGATTCCTGGCCAGAGCAACGAGAGCTGACAGACTATGGTGCAGAGGAGCTGGACTTCCTGCTAGACCACTTCAACTCTGTCTTAACAAGGTTAGTGACTCTTTTTAAATTATCAAAGATATAAAAAGTATAACACAGAGCAACATTTCAAACATCTACTTTGATCCTTAACCTAGATTGTTTGGTCAGTTTTTCCTTTCACTCTTTTCAGAAATGGCTGTGATTCCAATCTGGCTAGAGAGGAGTATCAATCCATGAAGACATTCATCTTTAGGAACTACATGGACAAGTCTTACCATGCCTTATGGGAGATGATGGTAACAAAGTTGCCATTCTGCTCTGATTACAAGGTACCCCATTTTGATCACATCCTTGTTAATTTAATTGGTAATTATTACTTTTTGATTAAATAAAACCTACACTAATGATCCAATCTTTGTAGAACATCCTACATCTTGTGCACATCATGCTGGTCCTCCCAGTCTCCTCTTCTGTATGTGAAAGGGGATTTTCTGCTCAGAAGAGGATTAAATCTGATGTCAGGGGGTCCCTGCATGTGGACACTGTGGAGGACTTGATTCGAATTAGCATGGAGGGACCTAGTTTACAAGAGTTTGATGCCAAGGAAGCTGTACAAACATGGATCAGTCAGGGTAAAAGGTCTAGGAGGCCAAATTACAAGGGCTGGCCTTCTGAGCCTCCTAGTGGACCACAGGAGGATCTTCTCTAAGGGGGAGTGAGTAAAGGCACACGTTGTTTTGGCCTACTTGTTCTAGTGGAATGTTATTGGCCAGTGCCCCTAATGTTTACATACGTCAAGTATCGTTTGTAACTTGTTACTAGGCACTTTTTCTGAATGTATCTATGGTATATTTTTTATATATACACTCACCGGCCACTTTATTAGGTACCCCATGCTAGTAACGGGTTGGACCCCCTTTTGCCTTCAGAACTGCCTCAATTCTTCGTGGCATAGATTCAACAAGGTGCTGGAAGCATTCCTCAGGGAGTTTGGTCCATATTGACATGATGGCATCACACAGTTGCCGCAGATTTGTCGGCTGCACATCCATGATGCGAATCTCCCGTTCCACCACATCCCAAAGATGCTCTATTGGGTTGAGATCTGGTGACTGTGGAGGCCATTTTAGTACAGTGAACTCATTGTCATGTTCAAGAAACCAATTTGAAATGATTAGAGCTTTGTGACATGGTGGAAGTAGCCATCAGAGGATGGGTACATGGTGGCCATAAAGGGATGGACATGGTCAGAAACAATGCTCAGGTAGGCTGTGGCATTTAAACGACGCCCAATTGGCACTAAGGGGCCTAAAGTGTGCCAGGAAAACATCCCCCACACCATTACACCACCACCACCAGCCTGCACAGTGGTAACAAGGCATGATGGTTCCATGTTCTCATTCTGTTTACGCCAAATTCTGACTCTAACATCTGAATGTCTCAACAGAAATCGAGACTCATCAGACCAGGCAACATTTCTCCAGTCTTCAACTGTTCAATTTTGGTGAGCTCTTGCAAATTGTAGCCTCTTTTTCCTATTTGTAGTGGAGATGAGTGGTACCCGGTGGAGTCTTCTGCTGTTGTAGCCCATCCGCCTCAAGGTTGTGCGTGTTGTGGCTTCACAAATGCTTTGCTGCATACCTCGGTTGTAACGAGTGGTTATTTCAGTCACTGTTGCCCTTCTATCAGCTCGAACCAGTCTGGCCATTCTCCTCTGACCTCTGGCATCAACAAGGCATTTCCGCCCACAGAACTGCCGCTCACTGGATGTTTTTTCTTTTTCGGACCATTCTCTGTAAACCCTAGAGATGGTTGTGCGTGAAAATCCCAGTAGATTAGCAGTTTCTGAAATACTCAGACCAGCCCTTCTGGCACCAACAATCATGCCACGTTCAAAGTCACTCAAATCAACTTTCTTCCCCATACTGATGCTCGGTTTGAACTGCAGGAGATTGTCTTGACCATGTCTACATGCCTAAATGCACTGAGTTGCCGCCATGTGATTGGCTGCTTAGAAATTAAGTGTTAACGAGCAGTTGGACAGGTGTACCTGAAAAAAGTGGCCGGTGAGTGTATATATATTTGTACTGCCATGACAGCAATGGTGCTGTCGGTTTACCTTGTTGTTGCATCTATAAAAGTGCACAATAAAATGTGAATATGAATTTGAAACAGCACATTGTCATTTCTGCATCTAATATCAAAGTATTTATTAATAACACAGTGGAAATTAGTAGAAATGTGAATATTTGGTTAGCATGTTGATTTACGGTGTGTGCCCCTAAATTTTCTGGTTGTGCCCCTAAAATTTTCAGTTGGGGGCCACTGTGCTCCTAGTGAAAAAAGTTAGTCTGGAGCCCTGTAGCGAGTCAATACAAAGGAAACTATTGACTGAATCGGAGCTCACGTATAAAAAGGCTGTGGATATAGCGATGTCAATGGAGGCTGTATCTAGAGAATCACAGCACTTGAGCAACTCATTGAAGGTAAATGCCATGTCTCTGTCGTCAGAATCGCCCAAGGAGAAATGTTATAGATGTGGAAAGTCCAATCATATCCAAAATGAGTGCTTTTACAAAGATCAAGTGTGTCACAAGTGTGGGAAGAAAGGCCACATTTCACGTATGTGTAAAGGTAATAAGACAGAAGAGAAAACACTTAGAACTACAGTAAAAGGGAAAAGTGGAAAATGGAAGAGACAGACTAAGAAAAGACAAATTCACCGAGTGGATGCTAATATGGAAAAGAGTGAGGAAGAGACAAATTCGGACACGGATATGGAACTGACACGACACAAAGTGACAGCAACACTCAATTCTCAAGGGTGAACAAAATGAAAAGTGAAACTGATGTAGTGTCATCTGTAATAAAAGTACAACCAAAAATTGAGGGATTGCCAATTGATATGGAAGTAGATACTGGGGCGGCAGTCTCTATTATTTATAACTGTACAGAGATAAACTGAGCCATCTTCGATTACGCCAGACGAACGTTGTTCTAATGACGTACACAGGCGAAGTCATTCCGCCAGAAGGCGTCATCAAAGTGCGTGTCAAGCTAAACAGACAAAGCGTGCGCTTACCCTTGTATGTTGTTACAGGAAACGCAGCTTCTCTGTTGGGACGAGAATGGCTTCGCAGAATTTGTCTAGATTGGCGTGAGATCAAAACTGTACGAGCAGTGCATCAAGTTAATGAAGGGACATTTGACAGTCTTTTAAAAAGGTATGCACAAGTATTCAGAGAAGATCTAGAGACATTCAATGAGTATACAGCTACCTTAAAGGTATAGCGGAGGATCTTTCCGAATTTTAGAGAAGACCCGCCCTCTCCAATTTTTTTAAAAATGCACATGCGCAACACTCTATTTGACTTGTGCCAGGGCTAGCATCGCTAATCATAGCTTACATTAACTTTTACTAGCAGTGATTTTAAATGGATTTCTCCAAATAGCATGACAAACTTTACCTGTCTAGTAGAATCTTCGGTACTGCGGCATCAGTGGGAAGCCCAACCTGTGCTTTTAGCGCACGCCAGCGTGTGAAATATTCACCCAAAATCACTCTGGTCTTGTTTCTATATTTTGCGGCCTTTCTCTTCTTATCATACACTTCGTATACATTTTTTTCTCTTTCGAGCCTCAGCCATTTTCAAAGGAATGGCTGAAACCGTAACTCATCACACATAATACACCTGAAAGTGCGCATGCGCAGAAAGCGAAAACTACATAGGGACGAGCACGTACGACGGCCTTACGTAAACATATCACCAGAATGATTGACACTTAGGTGGACCAATAGTATAGGCTATCTGTAACAGTTCGAAATAGACCCAAAAGCGAAAGCTGGTTAATGATTTATTGAAAAGGAAAATGATAAATGCAACACAGGCTGTCTGCCGATCACAGGTAGTCTTGAACGCAGAACAGGAAAATTATCTCCAGAGAGAAACCAGGCCGGATGATCGTCACAGGTTCGCGGTCAGGTAGTGCTCGCAGGAATAGGCAAGCGCAGACTCCACCAGGCAGTAACCGCAGCACAGAGAATCAGACTTGACACAGGATAGCCGGAGCAGTAACTCATCTGACATATGCGTACACACAGGACAAGAAACTGTAGCAATGATATACAGAAGTCAGTGACGGACATGAACGAACAAACAATAAACCGACAAGAGGGGAAAAGAACATGAGGTCTAAATAGCCAGAAAATCAGGGCAAAAGGGAAACAGGTGTGAGGAGAGCAGGAGAGTGAACGCTGATTAAGAATGGGTTCAGCTGTGCGAGAGCACAAGTGAAAGAGAGAGAGAAACAAGCAGAGGAATAAGACTAGACTCCTGACAGTACCCCCTCCCTAACGGGCGCCCCCTGGCGCCCCAGAGGAGGACTGACGGGAGCGGAGGAAATCGTCGATAAGCGAGCGGTCCAGCACATCCCTTCCCGGTACCCAGCTTCTCTCCTCCGGGCCGTATCCCTCCCAATCAACAAGATATTGAAAACCCCGTCCCCGGGGTCGGACGTCCAGCAGCCTCTTAACCTTAAAGACAGGAGGGTTAGTAGCAAGGGCAAGAGAAGGGACGGGGGAAGGGAGAGAAGGAGAACGGAGGCGGAGCGCAGGTTTAATACACGAGACATGAAAAACAGGATGGACACGTCTGAGAGAGTGTGGTAACCTGAGCCGTACAGCCGCTGGACTGATGACCTTAGTGATGGCATAAGGTCCAATGAAACGGGGAGCCAGTTTCCGAGCGGGTGCCTGAAGGGGTAAATTACGTGTGGAAAGCCAAACTCTTTGCCCACAAACATACCTGGGAGCTTTGGAACGGCGACGATTGGCGATACGACAAGTGCGTTCCCTGGTCCGGCACAGAGCTGACCTCACCCTCCGCCAAGTGCGACGACAGCGCTGAATAAAGGCCTGGACCGAGGGGACGGCGACCTCTGGTTCCTGAGAGGGAAACAGAGGTGGCTGGTAGCCCAGACAACAAGAAAACGGGGAAAGGCCAGTGGACGACGATGGCAGAGAATTATGAGCGTACTCAGCCCATGTCAATTGTTCACACCAGGAGGTGGGGTTATTAGCCGCCAAACAGCGGAGCATCCGACCGAGGTCCTGATTAGCGCGCTCAGCTTGCCCATTACTCTGTGGATGAAACCCTGAAGACAGACTGGCAGTAGCACCAATCTGTTTGCAGAATTCCCTCCAAAAGTTAGAGACAAACTGGGGTCCCCTGTCCGAAACAATATCAGAAGGAAGCCCGTGAATTCTAAAGACGTGGTCCACAACCGCCTGCGCAGTCTCTTTAGCCGACGGAAGCTTGGGGAGTGGAACAAAGTGAACCGCTTTAGAAAACCGATCAACGACAGTGAGTATCACCGTATTGCCGCTGGAGGGGGGAAGCCCCGTGACGAAGTCCAGGGCAATATGGGACCAAGGCCGGGAGGGAATAGAGAGGGGGCGAAGCAGACCGTCGGGAGGCGAATTACTGGACTTCTGCTGGGCACAGACAGAACATGACGCAACAAACCGGCGTACCTCACGTTCCATGACAGGCCACCAGAATCGCTGGCGGACAGCTGCCAAAGTACGACCCACCCCCGGATGAGCGACCAGTTTAGATGCATGACCCCAACGAAGGACAGCCGGACGAGCGGACTTGGTGACAAATAGCTTCCCCTCAGGACACCCACGAGGAACGACAGTGTGAGAAAGAGCCTTTCGCACAAGCTGTTCCACCCCCCAGGTGACGGATCCAACCACACATCCCTCAGGTAGGATGGTCTCAGTGGTGGGACGACCCTCGGAGGAAGAGAACTGGCGAGAAAGAGCGTCAGGCTTAATGTTCTTTGACC